GTCACTGTTCTGGATGTCTAAGTTATTCAAATCGTCCACAGTCGGTCATATGTCAGAAGTAGATATGAATTAAGATTGTCACGGGTTGGCTTGTAGAGGTCTAAGATGTTGGACAAAGGGCTACAACTCTCATGAGTGCTCATACGTTCTGATTATTGGATTCAACCCGCGCTCATTGGAATCAGTTCATGGATTTTATCACGAGTGATCATGAGACAATAATATCTTATATTCTTCAAACCTAGAGATATGAGTTGTTACTATGAGTTGGTTGTACATTGATTGCACGAAAACGCATTCGGTAACTCGATGTTATAAAACGTGCCTTTGTGTATGATTCAACAAGTAGTAGAACAAGCCATATGAGTCGAAGTTTATCCATTCCTTTTACCTTCGAGATAAAAGAGATATTTGTGGTCCCCTCGATGATTTAATGATGATACATGTGAGTGTTTGGCCAAGCCAAGACTGATATGATTTGTTCAATCAGTCTGTCATCATGAATCGGAAATCAGGAAACATCAAATGGACTGAGAGAATGATTTATAATCCATTTCTCACTACATATGATATCTAGAATGGAGGAATATATGATCCCTTATCTAATGGACAAGTCATTGACAAATGTCAGAGTTCATCGACAATGTCAGAGTTCGACAGAAGATTTTGAGAGCTACGATTGCCAGTCGGTTCTTGAAGTCATACGAAATAATAGTTTTAGACATATCTGTAATGCCTGCGTTTCCAGGCTAGGCATTTTCGTTGATGTAATCGTCTAGGTTAACCTTTGTAACCCGTTTTGAAATAATAAGAATGTATTATTTGTGAATTATGTGAATTATGTGTTTATTTTCCTAATTATTATAATTTAATGAATTAAGAATAAATTAACCGTCAAAATTAAAGTATGAGATAAGCCCGATATCATTGCATAAAGTTGTAGTGGCCGAAACGAGGTTTCCGTATATATATAGAACGCCCAAATCTGACTTCGTATGAGGAAGTTATGAATTTATGAAGTTTCGACTTAGCGGTATGCAGCCCGAAATACTCGATTTGAGATCCAGTGGTTTTTAGCCGAACCAATCTAAACGAGAATCGAAGATCTCGTTGTTAGTAGCGAAACGATGAAACGTTAGGCGAGAGCGGACGTCGGACGAGGAAGTTATGAATTTATAATGAAGTTTTCCTGTCCCGGCCTACTAAAAATAACTAATAAAAATAAAATTAAAATTAGCCGACAGATTCTAAACGAAAGTTATAGTGCATAGTCTCACCTACGCGTGGAAATAAAGAACACCGAAAACGGAGTTCGTATGAAGAAGATATGAATTTTCAAAATTTATTTAATAATTAATATTTAAATTTATTTATTTATTCCGATATTATCCGAAGAGGAGTCACCGGACTCATCTAAAGTACGCCCAACGTACCGCGAAGCATGACGCACCTCGCACTCGAGTTCTTTAGATGACGCATGCAGTGACGATTTCGGAGGCTTATGCCCCGCGTAAGGCTGTACGCCCAGCCTACGACGAGGCCTTAGCCTCCCATAAATAGGATGCGAGGGTTCCGGGCATATTTGCTCAATTCTTCTCTTTTTCGTACCGAAGCTCTGCGTGTGAACCCCCGAAGCCATCCCGACACCCCGGATCTCATATCCAAGTTAAGAAGGAAGTTTTATGCTGTCGAGATCCCGAGAATTGCGATTCCTGAGTCGAAGCTCTACCCGCGAGGAGTTCGATTTTTGTGAAGATCTTCCAGATCTACCGAAGAATACTACTTCTACAAGTCGTAGTGCTTCCCGATCATCTTCTGATTAAGTGAGTGTGTGGTTACTTTCTTCTAACGCATAATTATGAAGTATTTTATACGAAATACGTGTTATGTGTATATTTTGTGTTATATGTGTGAATGTATATTTACTTTCTTCTATCTCATAGATATGATTTATTCTCTATGAAATATGTGTTATGTGTATGTGTCTCATATGTTGTTTGGAATATGTATTGAATAAGAATGTTATAAAGGTTTTAAACTATGTATAAAAATATATATTTTTATCTACTAATATGCCGGGTAGAACATGAGTAGATAGTTGTGTGATAAACAGATGAGAGGCCTCGATGTTGTTTTTGATTCAGTCATCTAGCGGAGTTTTGATGACGACCATAGACTTTTGTAGATAGTCTTGTGGAACGCTAGCAGGTTCGCCACTTGTAGGTGTTAATGATCTTGGGTGTTCATTCGTTGTAATCCATCCCCCTCATGGTTGCCTTATTTGACATATATTGCTGGGAAACCCCCGAATGCATGTGTTGTCGCCCCGGTGAAATATTCTAAGACTAGGTCCCTTGTGTTAGTTGTTTTACGGACATAAAGTGAGAATAACGGGAATGGGTAATTGGATTATTGTTGGTTGATAAAAATTAATTTAATCATTTATTGTGGGTTGAAAACCCTATATGCTCACCAGACTCCCAAGACTGACCCACTCAGTTTATTTGTATTACAGGAAGTATCGCAAGGGCATAAGATCGATGAATCATCAAGTTGTTTTGTTTACAAGTCTGTATATGTATATATTTGTTGAATGACTTGTAATATTATCGTTTATGCTTTATGGTCTGTATCGAAACATGACATCCCGAGTTTTGATTATATAATGAAAATACATTTCTTTTACGAAATGCTTTGGTAAATATTATTTTATCACGTTTTGTTTTTGGGAAAAAATTCCGCAACTCTTGCAAATCAAAAGGATTTACTCTGAAATTATTTTAATAGCATAAATGAAAATCGGTCTTTTCTGGCCGTGATTTCGGGGATGTCACAGTTGGTATCAGAGCATTAGTTTTAAGCGAACTAGGAATTTGTAGGATATCTAGACTTAAACTTAAAATGCTAAGTGAAATTTTGAGATGTGTGCACTACTAGAAAAACAGCCTTTTACGACGCTCATTGCACGTCGTAAAAGGCTCAGACGACGCACAAATGCGCGTCAAGGAAGGCCGTGTCATAAAGAGAGACGACGCGCATTTACGACGCTCATTTACGACGCGCAATTACGACGCGCGTTTGCGACACACAATGCTTATCAAGGAAGGCCCTGTCATAAAGGAAGGTGACACACATTCGCGTGTCGTAACCTTACGACGCGCGTGTTAATGACACACAATGCGTATCAAGAAAGCCCCTGTCAAGAAAGGCCATGTCATAAATGAAGATGACACACATTTTTGCGTATCGTAAATTTAAATATTTAAAAATATATATATTTATATATTTATTAATTTTTAAATTAAATTTGCATTTAATGTGTCATAATAGAAATAAAATACCATATACAAAAAAATACAATCCATTGAATAAACTTTAATGTCATACAATTCTAATTCTTACAATATATAAATTTGCATTCATCTAATCTACTCTATGTTTCATACTAACAATTGAAATGAAGAATACAACACTTGCATTTTCAGCATCTTATCTCTTTCGGCTTGAGCTTTCTTTTCCACTTCTAACTCGAGAGCTATTCTCTTTCATCAACCCTGTAAACACAACACAAAATCACTTGTCATTTTCATTTTCTTTCCAATTTCCGTTGTGTGTTTTCCTATTTCCTTAGTTTGTGTACAATGGAGTAAGCAAGTGTGTATTGAAGCACCTTCCATGTAATAATACCCCCTTGACCAGTACTAGTATCAGAACATAAAGCACCTTTCTGCACAAAAAACAACAATAAGTAAACAAAGAGTCAACATGTTAGTTGCAGCCTTGTTTCTTCTTCTTCTTCTGAACTCATCTCTTGCAACCATTGCTCTAAGCCTACTCTGAAATAGATACAACAACTCCTTGTCAAAACATGTACAACCGGTTTCAATCAAGACACTTAATCAATCAAAAACTTCAACAATTAATTTATTTCCTTATTAAAGTTAGTTCTTTTACAGCTATATGTTTGAAGATATAAAGAAAAAAAATGTCAAAGGAGAATAAGGAAATACTGAATGGTAGAACCTCATTACTGTTATGCACACAATTATTCAAACCAGACTGCCAAATTCTAACAACTTCTCCAAGTGTTCTGTTTTCAATCCTGTCAAGCACAATTTTTTCACAAGTAAGGCAGAAGCATGGAAATAAATAAAAGTGGGCTTCTTGAATTATCCTTCATTTTGATAAATATACAAAGTTATATGATGTGTGTGTACCTAATGGGGCCATATCTTGGTCCACGATGGAGTACAACAATGAAACATGATGCCTCTTCATAACCTCGAATTCCAGTCCGTCAAATTTCCGGAGTGCCATCTTCCTCCTTCAAAACAAGAAATATGGTGTCTTCCTTCTCAATTTGAACAGGAAATGACCATTTTGTGCCTTCATCACGGATCTATTAGATAAACAATATGTAAGGAAAATATCACTATAATAAATAGATAAAAATTGTATAATGAAAGAAATACACACACACACACGAAGGACCCCTAATCACCTGTAGCTTGCTAGGTTGGTCAGTCTCACGGTAAACAATGAACTAGAAACCAAACTTAAGGGCTTTTATGAACCAAAAAGAAAGAGTAAAATCGAACATTTCTATCAAACTTAAAGGCTTTAATAAACCAGAGGGTAAAATTAAAATTAAAAAAAAAAGTTGCAAATATCCGAATTTAATGAACCTAAAATCTACAAGAGGGTAAAACCGACAAAAACTTACAAACTTAAGGGTTTTTATGTCATTAGCCCTATATTTAAATGGTTTCCTTTAAATCTTCCATAAAATAACTTGTAGTAGTCGCATAAGAAAAAACTCGTGTTTTCTTGTATACGATATGCAAAATTCAAAAGTGGACTACCAAAAATTGCCAAGTTAGATTCATAACTTTATGTACATTTTGTTAAATAAATCATCCAATATAATTCAAATGAGACCAAAGAACTCTAAATATGTACTCAATTGAAATGAGAATCACGTTCCAAACCCAAAATACCCGGTCTAAATCAAATCTTTTCAGTTCTCTACCAGTTTAGCAGAGTTTTGAGTTATGTGATTAGAACAAAAATCATCCAATTGATCTCAAATATCATCATCTATCTATACGTTTAATATGTATATATTTATATAAGGACCCATAAAAAGTAGGGTTAGAGATGGGACCTAATTTTCACCAATGGCGCAAGGAATGCAAGGCGGATCTTTTGCTTGGTCTTGAGGAGTGATTTTTTGCAAACATTGATCATGAAAAGTATGGCCACAAGGAAGAACAGCAACTGCTGGTGGTGCTGTAGGCTGGTATACTGCACCTTCTGATGTTAATGAAAGATCCCTCTTGCATAGCAAGCATTTATATTTTGTCAATTCAGGAGGACTTGTCTCAGGATCTGGCATATAATCAAACACATTACATTAGTTAGTAGTTACCATGTCATATATATATATATATATATATATATATATATATATATATATATATATATATATATATATATATATATATATATATATATATATGAAGAAATAGTAAGAGTATGAAACGATAGTGTACCTTTCCATGTAATATGAGAGACTGTAGGACTAGGAGTAGCTGTCATAGGAACACGAGGTCTAAAATTTGATGTGTAAGGTATAGATGGATGCATAAGAGCACGAACACGTTGTTGAGTTTGTGATTGTGATTGGTAGATTGGTATGGAAGGATGAGCAAGATTGGCTGTTACAGAAGCAGCTGGTTTTGTGGGGAATCGGATTGGCATTGAATGATGAGTAGTTGTTGGATGTGACATCTTCTGGCGTTGAACCCAATGGGCGCCTGAAGGTGGGGCCACTGCACTTCTCTTGTGATATGGTCTCGCATAATACTCAGAATTATTAGAGAGACCATCAACAGAAGTTGTAGGAGCTTGTCCTCTAGGATTGTTAGGAAGCTGTATACATACACTTCTTAGGTGTTTATTTACCATGACTGAAACGGGGACCTTGAGGATTCATCGGATAACTCACAGGTGCTGCATCAATTCGATCTGATTGTCATAAAAACGATCTCAAGACATTAAAAAGAGAGCAAGTAGTCATACCAATAGAAGGTCGAACAACATTATCTGGATACTGACGTGTTTGACTTTGACCTGAAAATAAAAAAATTAATCTGACATGATAAGTAAGACTTAACTTGTTGTCTATAACTGTATAAAAACAGTCTTATGCCACTCAGGATACCTGCACTAGTTGTCTGCAAGCTTATTTGTCTCTCAGCAGATTGAGGGCTATCTATCCCATTAAACTCAACTCCCAGCCTTTTGGGAATGGGAGATCTGTTACACCTTGACCACTACTAACCCAAGATACTTGAGGAATTGCTGTCCTCTGGTTTTGTGAAAGCAGACCACCCCCAGGACCTTGGGTAGGCATGTGATTCTGTAAATAGGGATGTTTTCCTACAAGAAAACATATTGATTCAATAAGGATAACCTTAATGTAAACTGAAAACAATCACCTTGCTTACCTGCATAATTCTGTCTGGTAGAAGTAGAACCACTTCCAAGTTTGAGAGAAGAATTCATGGAACTCTCTGATGGTGACAAATCTATATTGCTTGGATAACGAACCTGAGATACATATAAGAGTATAAGCACTCCATGTTACTGAATCAAAAAAGCTTACATGAACAAATAAAAACGTACTTTTAAATTTATTTGTTACTTTCCTTTTCCTATTATAACATCGTAGCACCCAATTATAGTAATGTCATGCAAAGACATGATATTTACTGCTATGATTGAGTAGATTTTTCATGCAATAATAGGAAGAAAAAAATGAAAGTAAGATGCTAATGCTATGCATTTAGACGAATCCAAAAAGAAAATGAAGTTACCGCAACATTCAAGGTAGGAGCTGGGTGTTGTCCACGAATTCCATTCGGGCCCAAAATAGAATGTCTGGAGAGAGTTTCTTCCCTTGCACGAGGAATATTTAGAGAACTAAAGCAGCAAGAAAACCAAAATCACTAGTTTGTGTTCTGAGATGGAAAAGCAATCGGAAAAAGGTGAATTCAACATTGATACTTACATGGATCCTGAAATCACTAAAGAAGGGCATTGGTCCTTCAAAAAAAAAAGATGCAAAAGCTGACTACTGAAGAAGGGCTTCGTGGAGAAAATTGCAATCAAGTCCTAAATTGAATAGTTCTCCATTTAAAGAAAACACAGTATAGGGCTAGAGTTGATAATTTGGAAGAAAAATGATGAAGAACAGAAGAATATGAGGTCAAAGTAACATAATGGAATAAATAAAGGAAAACTCTTACCTTTTTCTTCGAACGGAGGGTCAATTGACTTTCAATTTTTGGTGTTAGGGCTTAGCGATTGTAAGAGGAAGAAGACAGACGTACTCTCATAGATGATGGTTGTATGCGCTTGATTTTGCAAAGACGAGTTAAAGGAAAGAACTAGGGTTTTCTTGTTGTAAGTCAGGGGAGAAGCCGAGAAAGTAATTAGAGGAGAAGGGGGGAATCGCTCAAGAAGAAAAATAGGATGTCTTCGTAAGATGGAAGGGAAAATTGGTTTAGAAGCTGGTCAAATGTAATGAAATGTTGAAACGTTTGGAAACAACTTCTCCCAAATGGTTGGAGAAGATGGTCGGAGACAGTTGGCGGTGCGAGATCGGAGGTTGGGTGCTGGTGCGATGCTGCTATGAAGACCAACGCCCTAGGGCTTTTTCTTGCTAATCGGAAGAGGCGGGGGGGTTTAATTTTTGGGATCCAGTATAGGCGGGTGAAATCCCGCTTAAAACGCGTGTTTCATTAAAAAATTATAAAGCGACACTCTTAGATGACACATGTTTTATGAAAGGTGCCCTCCGCTTTTTCTTTTTCTTCTTTTCTAACACTAATTTTAGGGCACGCACAAATGCGGTGCCCTCTATCCTTCATATTTTGCAAAACTGACATTATTTTTTAGGGCACGCACAAATGCGTATCGTTTATCAGCGCGTGTCATTGTTTGCGCGTCATTAAAGGGCTTTTTTCTAGTAGTGGTGTCTGTTATGTTTTAGACACGAGCACTAGTCTATTTTAGGAAAGTTGCCTAAAATGCTTTTATTTGCTAAATGTTATATGTTGCCATATATGATAATATTTGTTCGGATCTACGGTCTGTTGCCGACTGGATCTAGAAACCTTATGTGTGTAGGATTCTAAGCGTACGTCTACGATATTAGAACTAGCATGTAAACGTTTCGGAGTGATAATGATGATTTGAATATCTATCGTGATTGAGGATCTAATTTCACCTTATTCGGTGTATAGATAAAAAATGGTGAGAACACGAAGTGGAGTTGGAAATGCTGATGAAAATAGGAATCAACCACCAGTGATTGAGTAAATACCTGTCGTAGCAGCAGCACCTGAGCCGATAACAATGGATGGTGTACAATTGATGATTCATACGATGTTGGATCGTCAGATGGATGAGACGAGACATTTTCTTCAACAGAATCGTGAAGAACTGTTAATTCAAGTGGAAGAGCCGGAAGTGAATGAAGGGCACTCTGAAGGTGGAAACTTCAGTGGGTCTGTTGGTCAAGCCAACCCACCGATAGTTAGGCAAAACAACCATGATGGAAGGAATGATGGAATGGGATGCAAGTACAAGGACTTTCTAACTTGCAAACCATCGACCTTCACTGGAAAGGAGGACCCAATCGGAGTGATGGATTGGATCTCCTAAACGGAGTTAGCCTTCATGACTTGTGGCTGCAGAGGCAAGTTGGAGACTACCTTTGCAGTGCGTCAGTTCCAAGGTGGAGCCGTTCGTTGGTGGAACACTCTAGGGAAGACTTTAAACCCTAATGAGCCACTGGAATTGTCATGGGCAGAATTCTTGGTGCAGTTCTGTCACACCCCGAAAATCGAAGGCGGAAACATTTCCGGGGTTGACTCCACATTGTGTATCAAATCCAATGCACATAGTAAGTAAAGTACAACAACCATTACATTAAATATAGAAAAGTTTACATTTGTTTCAAAAGTAAAGTTATACAAGTGATACATAGTATATTTGAACAAAATGAAACGGGTCTTCTTAGCACTCCTTCTTCGAACAAAAGGATCTTCGGGTACCTGTCTAACGCTGACTTAAGAATACACGCGGTTTGAAAATCAACATTACGATGGTGAGTTCATAAGTGGTTTTGTTTTGTGAAAAATGTACGAGCTTCCTGTCCGTTACTGAAAATGTTACACACACCAAGAAAATCCCATATTTTCTTAATAATGTTGGTTATTGAAATTCCCGAAATGTAATGTAAGGTTGTACACTGAAAATATGTTTACTTTTGTGAATGTAAAGTTATCTGATTTGTTACACATTTCTGGTTATGTACAATGTTCCACAAGAAAATCCCATATTTTCCTAATGTGAAAGATATATACTGAAAACCTAGTTATCTTGTGAAATGTATTAGTTTTAACACTTATATAAAACTAATATTTACAAAGTAAATTAATTACTTAATTCATTTTTACTATTAAGTAAATCTCTGTTATCCTAATTGCGAGTCCCATAACCATACAATAAGACTAAATATGGCAATAAGTAGTCCACATCACCTTATGACTTTTGTCACCCTTGAACCATTTCGGTTCGGCTGTAGCTAGCAGCCAGGTGTGGGGTAGTCAGCCCCGTATAGATCTATATACTCAAGTCATGCTCCCTTATCTAAGAGATTCTGGTTAAGGTGGCGGTCCTCCACTCGCGTATCTCTGTGGAGTGTTCACCGAGGAGGTGTCTCCAATTATATAGAACTAACAAATTTATTTGTAATAATAGAATAATCCCCCACTCGCGTATCTCTTTGGAGTGTTACCGAGGACAAAACAGTGTAGAAAAGTTTTATGTTAAAAGGTTTAAATGTCATGCTTTTAACTGATAAAAATGTGGAAAGCCATTTGTGGAATAATAAACATAACAGCTTATAACCAATTTCACAAATAATGTATATGATTATCCTACAAGTGTCAAACTGTTATCCGTTATGATTATCAATGTCAAAAGCATATGAAATATGAAACACACACATGTAAAACAAGTTTTGAGTACAAATATCCCTTGTACTTTGCTTGTATTCCCCTTGAAAACAGTGAAAAAGGATAGGGGTATGAACTCACCGGACGAGAAAACGCGACGGTTTGGATGCTAAGCGTTGGTTCGGGGCTTGTTAACACGCGAGGTTCCTATGTATTATGAAATGGTATCCAAAGGTATCTAATTAGATTTTAAACCACTAATTAGATATGATAATACACTCCAATGAGCGAAAACACTTCAAAACAAGTGTTAACAAGCCCAGAACCAACGCGTTTTTTCGCTCATTGGAGTGTATGTATTTGAAGGCCTAAGAGGTTACACTTCAATCCGGGTCCAAAATGATATTATCATATCCGGGTCTAAAATGATATGATAATACACTCCAATGAGCGAAAACACTTCAATTATATATGCTAAGAGGTTACACTTCAATCCGGTTCCAAAATGATAGATTAAACACGAATTTGAAGCCCTAAGAGGTTACACAACAAGCTAGGGATGTTACCTCAAAGATTTGGAGCCTTAATTCAATGTTTTGGACCTTGAATCTTTGGATGAGGAGAGAGGTTAGAGAGAGAGAGAGAGTAGTGAGATGAAGCAAAAGCTTCAAATGGAAGCTTAAACATCTTTATATAGTGTCTAAGTTTTGGACACGGAGGGATTCTACCCGATACCGGCGTTATACGGTGCTTTTGGTCGTACCCGATCGAGTTACTGTAACCCAATAGGGTAAATTTTAAAATGTTTCCAATTATTAATATGAAGTGCTAATGTGAGTTCTAAATATGTTTAGACACTCATTAAGTCATAATAGAAGTCCCACAATTATGACTTAATTAAATGACGAAATCGAAAACGAAATTGGAAACGACGTTTGG